CACCTTTACTGGCTCCATCCCCGCCTCTTTGACCTGTCTGTCTCCTCTCCACCTATCTTCTCCTCTATCCATCTTCTATCCGCCTCCCCCTCTCTCCCTATTTATTTCAGAACCCCCTTCCCCTCCCCCATTTCTGAAGGAGGGTCTAGGCCCGAAACGTCAGCTTTCCTGCTCCTCTGATGCTGCTTGGCCTGCTGTGTTCACCCAGCTCTACACCTTGTTATCTCTGCATTCAGATAAGCCTGGTATCATGACTGATGCTCGGTAAGAGAGTGTAAATGAAAATTGGCTGAGAAAAGCATTAAAAAAAAATGAATCATGAGTTATGGAAATTGCTGGCTATGCCAGGATTTATTGACCGTTCCAAATTGCCTTAGAGGTAATGGTGAGGCGCCCTCTTGCTGCTGTCTTTGGCTTTAGGGACACCTACAGTGCTGTCAGGGAGCAAGGTTCAGGATTTTAAGCCAGCAACAGTGAAGCAAAGGTGTTACAGTTCTAAGACAAGATGGTGTGAGACCTGGAGGGGAACTTGCACGTGGTAGTGCTCTCTCATGTACCTACTGTCCTCATCCTTCTAGGTGGTCAAAGTCATAGGTTTGGAAGTTGGTGTCAAAGAATCTAGGTGAGTTCCTGCAGTGCATTTTCTAGATGGTACACACTGCTACATAATGGGTAGAGGAGACGAATGTTCAACGTGGTGAAGTGGGTGCAAATCTTGTGGGTTGCTCAACTACTGTTGGAGCTGCACCCATCCAGGCAAGTGACAAGAATCTGAACGCACTCTTGACCTGTGTACAGGCACAGAAGGTAAGTTACTCGCCATACAATTCCTAGCCTCTGAGCTGCTACTGTAGCCACTGTATTTACATGGCTGGTGCAGTTCAGTTTTTGGTAGTGCACAAAATGTTGATAGTGGGGGAATCAGTGATGTTAATGCTATTGAATTCAAGGGATGATAGTTAGATTTTCTTTCCTTGGATATGGTCATTGCCTGGCACTTGTGATGTAAAATTGGCTTAACTCTCAACACAAGCATGAATGCCGTCCAAGTCTTGATGCTTATGCAAACATCCCTATTTCTGACCTTATGATGGAGTGAATGTCATTGGTATACCACCTATAGATGGCTGGACCTAAGACACTATCCTGAACAACTTCTGCAGAGATGTCCTGTGGCTGAGATGATTGACCTCCAACAACCACAACCATCTTCCTTCTGATGTATGGAGTGTGATGTATGACTCCAATCAGTGAAGAGCGGTCCCCCCAATACCCATTAACTCAAACAAAAACAGAAATAGCTGGAGAATCTCAGCAGCTCTGGAAAAATGTGGAGAAAAAACAGATTTAACATTTTTGGGTCCAGCAACCCTTCTCCAGAACTGATAGTAGCTAGAAAAGGTTAGTATATATGCTAAAGACATGGGATGGAGTGGGGGTGAGGATAAAAGAGTAACCAATAGGTGGAGATAAGCCCAGAGGGAGAGAAAGACAGTTGAGCAGACAAAGGTATAGATAATAGTAAGTCAGGGAGAAAGAACAGCAGATAATGTGGACCATAAGGAGGTGAAAATGAGATGCCGGCTGTGCCGAAAGCAGCCCATGTGATGACAGGGTCTGGTGTGTTGTAGTATTTAAAGGACATGGAAGGAGGTGTTCAGACTCTAAAATTATTGAACTCCATATTGGATCTTGAAGGCAACAGGGTCCCTAAGTGGATAATGAGGTGCTGTTCTTCCAGCTTGCACTGAGCTTCGCTGGAGCACTGCAACAGACCAGAGAGAGAAATGTTGGCCAGGAAAATGTTGGTGTGTTGACGTTGCAGGCAACTGGAAACTCAGGGTCAGCTTTGTGGACAGATATAGACATTCTGCAAAGTGGCCGCCCAGTCTGCATTTCATCTCCCCAGTGTAGAGAAGAGCACATTGTGAGCAGCAAATACAGTAGACGCCACTGAGTAAAGAGCAGGTAAATTGTTGCTTTTGTTTCAGAATTCCAACAGTCCTTTATTTTATCAAATTAGCTGACCATTCAAATCTGCCCTGTGCTTGGATATATAACTCAAAACGTTTAGAACACCTGCCACATCTCCTTCCAAGATCAGCTAGCAATATAAGACAAGGATTAAAGTATGGAAGTGTTCTAGTCTGTGCTGGTAAGTCAAGCATTTGGGAAGTCATGTTTCCAGAAGTTTAATATTACAGTTCTGTCTCCCCCTTGGATCATACAAATTGATGCCATAACGAGGTAGTCATAATGGGCAGTTTTCAGTTCTTTTGTACCCGTTCAAGAAAATGGTGCCTTTCTAACTTCTTCAAAATGACAAAGATTTGCCTGTGGATCTCTCAGGAGAGCGTGGGAGGAGGTGCATGTCTGGGGCAGCTGTGCAGATAGAATGGGAAGCCTTGATAGGAACTTCTGTTTCCCAGTAGGTGGACCAGGTACACATCATTAAGGAGTGTTCCCAGAAGTTAGAACTTACACTGGGCCACCTTGGACTGGAGAATCCAAGTAAGTGTCTGGGAGGGTCATGGATCCTGAAAAAAGAGAGATGGAATCTTTATTTCTTGGACTCAAAAACCTTCGGCATAGAGGCCTTCCAGTTGCTATGTTTGAACAATAACTGGTGCTGCTTTCAACGGTCTGAACTGTCCTGCAGAACTCTCAGGGCTGGTACATTAAGCCAGCGAGAGGGGCTAGAATCTGAAAAGCCAGGCAAGTTCAATCAGGTCAGGCAGAATGCACTTGGTCTAGACGCAGAAGGGGTAAGATCTATAGCCATTCGGACCTATTAAGTCTCATACACTCTATTTGCTCAAAGAAATTTACACTGTACAAAGCTTCTTAATAAACAGCACATTTTGATGCAGCAGATTTGAATAAACAAACTCACAGGATCATTTTTATAAGGATCTGCAGTGCCTCGTGTTGGCTCATTTGGTAACCAGTTTGAATACTTCACAGGCTTCCCATTCACCCAACGTTCAAAATTATCACTGTGCAGTCCTATCCAAACACTGGTTGATCTATCCAGGAGCTGAATTGTTAAAAATGCTGTGAATTGGAAAAAAAAGTGGAAACAGAGTTGACTAAAGCTTTTACTACCCGTGGCCAAGTTAAAAATTACTGCAATACTAATGGGAAATTAATCAGGATTAAAAACAGTTAATGGAAATCACTGGGCTATTAAATTATCTAAACAGGAAGCCTGAACAGTAACACCATTTCTTAAACACTATCGGATTTATTTTTTCCATGTCTAATAGGAACTGGAGCAGGGTGATGAAAATTGATTTTCTTGCTGCAACCATTCCATTCCTGCTGGAATTCTGCTATCGTTTGAATTCTTAATTGCAGGGCCGAGGCACACACTTAGCTAAAAGGGATTCATTACATTAAATTAAACCTCAGCTGCAGCTTAATCCAGTCTCTGTCATTTTTCTAGTTCAACTGACAGACACATGGGCTTTTCATCTGGGCCCTGATTTTCATTGCAAAATTGGTGGAACAGGCCTCAAGTGCTCAAGAGCACAACAGTCTCTAGAGGTTGTGGAACAAGCCTCCTAGTTACATGCCTGGGTCTTTGGGTCTCTGGGGATGGATCAACATCCTATTCTACACCCCCATCCTATTTTAAAGCCTGGGCCATTATGTTTATTCTGTACATACAGAAACAATTATATACGAGACAAAATCAAAATATGCAAGGGACTACGTAACATCTCATTAGCTATTTTAAGTTACCTTGTTCTATTTCATTTTCTATTGTAGCCAGGGTTCCTCCACGTATACTGCAGAACATTTGAGCAGAATACCAGTGTTTTAGCTGACTCTTATCCTTTGGGGCGTACAACAGGAAACACTGTCATTGAGAAAACAAAAGTCATCTGTGGTCCAGGTTTTGGGTTCCACTTATAACTAATGAGCATTCTTAAACTCTGCTTACAAGTACTTTGCCTACAAAATAATTGACTACGTTTCAAAAGTAATGAATTATCTGTGAAATGCTTTGACATGTATTCAGGTTATAAAAGGTTCTAAACAAATAATTTTTTTGGCTTTCTTTGTCGATTGCTAATGAGGAATATCAAGCAGAGCGTCTAATTTATTATATTTAGGAACATGGCAAAAATAATAGCATACAACTTTCATCTTGCAATTTTAATGTATAGATTATTTTAATACTTATTTTACTGCATTAACTCCACAAATGAATAAGTTAACTGTGCTACAAGCAAAAATGTATACTAACAGTCTGCATTTGTAAATATGTTCATTATGAAAAATAGTCCAATAATTATTTTTCATTTTCTAAAATCACCTTATTTTCAAAATACAGCCAACCTTTTGGACACGAGAGATCTGGAAGATAACTCTCAACTTTGTGAACCTCTATCAGTGATATATTGTGACGTTCACAGATGAAAGGGAGAGACAGAAAGCACTTGCTATCACCCCAGCGCCCTGTCAGGATATAAACACGCAAACAGATACAACATTATAGTAGAAGTGACTAGGACAAGATTGCAATTTAATTCAAAAAACATTAAAATGCATTTTTAAACATACATTTTGCAGATTCAAGAACGTTTTTATAATTGTTCTGATTAATATACTCAGAACGGTGCTTCCAAAAATTATTTAATAGTTCCTGTAAGAAGCTATTTATTTTAAAGAAAATATTGTGCAAGAAATGTACAGTGCTATACAATCGGTACACTATAAACGGTGTCCAGCACCATCAGCTATAATATTTCATGATTTTTTGCGATTGGATATTGCCTCAATTTATTTCCTAAAGCCAAACTGAGCAACACTATTTTTTCCCTTTGGTCTCCAAAGATATTAATCTAGAAAGAGGAAAAATACATTTTAAAAAGCATCCTTCAATTTGATCATAAGCATTTCTTTTATCTTAGTCCATCTTGGGACAATTTAAACTCACCCAATGCTAGTACTGTCTTGTTTGTACATAGCTCTCTAAATTGTCTACAGATGTGACCTGCTCATCTCTGCTGTTTTATGGTCTGTAACGCAAACTGATAATTGTATTATGTTCCTCCTTATCATACATGTCTTAACAAAACGGTCAGAAAATTCTTACATTCTCACGTTGATAAAATTCTTCAAAATACAGTTATCCCACTCCCTTTCATAGTTCCCTATCTCTCCTGAAAATGTTAATTGTGGTGAGGTTCTCACGCAAGTCATTATGCAGACCTTATATCTAATACAGCTAGTTTAGCATATCCCTTGATAGTTGCCAATTTAATTTTGAATGCTTTGTGGATTTGAACATAACCCCTAAATCTTGCTTTTTTTTGGAAATATTGTTCATTCTTTTTCCTAGTCTTCTTATTTCATGTGTAGAAGACGATATATTTTCTTTTTTAGAAGTACAATCTGAAATGGAGCAAAAACAAAAATTGTTGGAGATACTCAGCAGGTCTGAAAGAGTTTCACTCGATTCACATTTTATAAAGTGGGAGTGAATGGGGAAGTGGTTTGACTCCATGGGGCCTCTGTAGAGTGGGAGGAAAGGAGAATGTGCTTGGGTAATTTGGGATTGGGAAGGGTTGGAGTGAATGGGAAATTGTTTGGTTCCTTTGGGATTTCTCCTTCTTTTAAACTAAAATTAGGTATATTATAATAAATACAAGTATTTGGTATTACTGATGAAATTTGGTGTGAATTGCTTTTGTCCTGAATAGCATCAGTTGGGCAAATCAGTTATTTTCGTTGGTCTCGTGGGATTTTATACATTTTGATATGGCTTGTGGAACAATGGGGCATGGTAATCAGCACACTCTTCCTAGTCAAGTCATAACAAAAGTTTTCAGACCCTTTCCCACTTCTGCAGCATTGCTTGCATCACTCCTAACTTCAAAATTTATGTAATATAACCATCCTATTAACTCAGAAGTTCCCTATAATTGATTCCCTTGCTGGCTGTTGTGTGGTGGGAGGAAAAACCCAGCTTGGACACTCGAGGAATATTTTACCAATCTCCTTTATTGAATCATAAGCAGGGAACCAAAGGACAGAGTAACATCTGTCCTCTGACACTCTGAACAATGGTTACAGCTTATTTTATAGTATCAAAGTACAGCAGATTACAGAGTTCACGTGATCTACCAATTACACAAGTGCTTAATCCAAATTTGTACAACACTATTGCTACAATATACTTTTTTGACCAGAGTCCACCTACTCCTTGCTCTTGGCTGCTTGTCTAGCCTGTTGGTCAGGATTCGCCCACTCCTTCCATGCCTAGACATGTTTGTGCTATGCTAAGCCTTGTTAGTCACAGTTTGCCCACACTTTACCCTTGCCCAGAAAAGATTGTACTATATTAACCTTTTTGTATTTTGAATGTTTAAAACAAATTTACTGAAGGCACATATGATGTCAAAAACAAGAGTGACATGCTAGATTTTCTCTTGACATCAGAGGGATTACTCAAGTGTCAAATCTATTCCATTAATAAAGTAGAGATAGCAAGAACTGCAGATGCTGGAGTCAGAGATAACACAGTGTGGAGCTAGATGAACACAGCAGGCCAGGCAGCATCAGAGGAGCAAGAAAGCTGACGTTTCAGGTCAGGACCCTTCTTCAGAAATGGGGAGGGCGAAGGGAGCTCAGAAATAAATAGAGAGGAGGGGTGGGGCTGGGGAAGGTAGGTGGGATGGTGATAGGTGAGTGCAGGTAGGGAGTTGGCTGACTTAGGTCAGAAGTAGTTCTCGTAAAGATACACTATACACATCCACTTTATAAACATGTAGAAAATTTATGTCACCAATTATTGTAACAAGAAGTTAATGATTGGTGCAATGTAATAATTACCTGTTTTTGACGACACGTAAACGCATCTGCCGCTATGCTTGGGTAAACGGCTTGGATAATTGTCATCCCAGTTGTTGTAATACATTCCTGAATCATCTATCCAGCTACATACAAATAAATAACTTAGTTTGGCAAATATCATTGATGAATCATTAATGACATTACCAGACAATTATTTTGATTTCTTACCGAAATCCAGCTTTGGAATTTTCTGCATATAATCCAATCCACCACTTTTCATGTCCATTTGTTAAAAGCTGCAGAATAACATCAAACATTCCATGAAAAAGAATTACATGAATTGTGTCTTTTGTTACAAGCTACAAAACATTATTACATCTGCAACAGCCTTGAAATAGTGATAATGTTAACTAATTGTGCAATCAAAGTACCAGTTAATGAGGTAGCTAAGAATTGGCTGCTAAGATACATATGCTTCAATGGAGTGTCTTCAGCTTTGATGATGTTAAATTGAGGTAGTTCTACTTCCTTCAGATTTTCATGTTGGGCCTGAAATCTAATAGCTATGGGGAAAAGAGATAGATGTGAATATTGAAGATGGCTTAATGAAGACAGATGCTAGTGTTGAGGAATAATAGGAGTACAGAATGGAACTTGGCTACATCTGCAGTTCAGATTGCATTTTTGTTGCAATTTGCAGGCCAAGGACCATGCCACAATCACTTTCAGTTGTAACCTCACTGCCTCCCAAAGAGCTGGTTGGATTAGGCCTTAATTTCCATTTCAATTAACACCCATTAGTACACATGCTGCCAAGGATGTCCCAGTGATAGGATTCAAAAGAAGTAAATTTTAATATTGTTCTTCAGAAAAACTTTTTAAAAATGACAAAATGTTCAATTCAAATGAAATAGCTTTAAAACTGGGCTTCTAAATTAAAGCCATGTCCAATCAGAGATAAGATAATCTAGTTTGTCGATTGTTGCGTAGATTAGATTAAGCTTTTATTTTGGAAGTTCTTTAGAGTATTTGTGATTTTCGCTCAAATGGATTCATTTGCTGATAAGTTTTATAAATTGTATTGTATTTTTTTCCTCATCAACAGCCCCATAGATAAAGATTAATATGACTATTAATTCAGATGAATTTAACATTGTAACTTAACAAGGGTAAAATAGATAAATATATTGCTGTACGACTTAAGAATTTAGAATGTCGAGTGTATATTTACATTGCTTGGCAAGTAATGCATTAATTTGATGAATATAATATTGGAGATGCTGTGATATATACTGCATTCAGCAGATTAAAACTCAAAAATCTAAATTTGTGAATTGTGAAAAGTAACCGATCAGCTTTCAATGAAGCAAAATTAACACCCATTCACTCTTTATTATCTGTCATATGGCTAACTGGAGATTTAAATGCATCAAACTCTGTCTTATAATTCACTATACAGCACTTTATACCTGGTTACAACGTAACAAAAAAAAAGCAAAATGATACATACAAACAAATTAGGTTATTTAAGGTCAGAGATTCATTGGCTGAGTTACTTTTGATTGCAACATAAATGCGAAGTGACCTGTAATGTCACTGTAGTCTTCAGGCCATAGGATTGCTCTTTCATTAGAGAGAGGTTTAATCAGTGTATCACTCAAGTGAGGGGCAAGAATGGCGAAGGAGAAACCTTCATGGTAACCTCAGTTGGTGTGGGAATTGAACCCATGCTGCTGGCATCACACTGCATTGTAAACCAGCTATCTAGCCTGAAACTGTACAAGACTTGAAGGCTGTCATGCTTTTTGACTTTTGGCAAAGGCAAAGCTGTTGAAATCTTCATAATCATCCTCTAGAGGGCTGATGAGTAGTTTCATTCTCATTGATTTGTGTGGATCTTTCCCAACCACTAAGCAAGTAAGCAATATAAATGTGACAGCTGTAAAAATGACATGGCTATACAAAAAGAGGATGAGTCTAGAGCTGAGACAGAGAGATGGCTATTATTATAGATCCAATTCACACAGTGCTTTTGTAATGTAGATCCAGTTGTATTCAAATATCCCAGTTGTTACTGTTATAAAATCTGCTCCATTGTGAAGCAACGTTTTTGATCTTACTTTACCTTTTCAATTCTGTTTTTAACGAAGTCCTGTTCTTTGGCTGTATTTATAGATGCCAAGTCGCTACCCATCAAACTACAAGCCACAGCAGCTGCAAGCCACTTCCCCTCTGTCTCAAAAAACAAATATTCAGCTCCTTGAAAGAAGATCCAAGGTGCAAATGCAAATTGCTCTTCTGCACAGAGGAAACAATTCAGAATTTACATGAATACAAATTAAGCTGCACAGCTATTAAAAGATAACCCTGCTCCCACCAGCATTTTAAAACAGTCTTCATGATACATTTTATAACCTATTCACAGAGAAATAGGAGTTAAAAGCTTACACTGCTAAAATGATCAGAAATGCAGTGATTATCAGATTGAAATTACAATTAGTTTATATTCCTGTCATGTCCAGGCTATATACATGAATATTCACCCAGAAATTCCAGTCAGCATCAGAAAGTGTATTTCTGACCCTGATCATTTATCTTTCGATCAATTCTGCACTGGAGATTCCTGGACAGGAGCCTTCAGTTATCAAAAAGCAGAGACTGGTCCAGGAAACAGTGGAGCCAGAAGGAGAATGACTATCGAAACCTCACTCCATTTTGCGGCAGTGTGTTCTATTCTGAAGTTTAAATATCCAGCAGCATAGCAAGCTACTTTGACAGCTCCTCTGAAAGTGTAAGTATGCAAAGCAAATGTTCGGGGAGGGTGGGAATTGGTTTGTGGAGGTGGGGTGGGGGGGGGGGAGTTATATGTAGAGTGCTAAGGGTAGGCCGCTAAGCAAATCAATAAGTACTTAAGTTAGGTTGAGGGGTTAAGTCAGTGGACGTGTTGTGTCCTGACTAGTTCGGTGAGGATGGTGAGGTGGGCACAGGAAGATTGGAAGTTCAGGTTGTCTCGGTGAGGTGAGATTGGAGCGTTTATTTCAGCAGCACAAAAAAGGGCAATTCAGCTCACTGTGTCCATTCAGATGTTGTTGTGGGGTTGGGGTGATTGAAATTATTAGTTACCCCAAGTTACCCAGGGTTTTAATCCTCTAACATTTCCTGGTTTAAAAGAAGCTTAGAGTAGTTGTAATTCTCCATATTCTCCAATACTAAAAGTACTTCTTCAGAGGATTCCGGACGCAGGGGGATTGCCAATTCATAATGTTCAATTTCCCTGGCAATTCCTTCAAAGTCAGTTGCGCTGGGATTTCTACATGCTCCTGACATGCAACTCCAATTTAGTCCCTGACCATCAGAACATCTGGGCCAATATTTATGAACAGCAAGAGAAAATCATTTATATTTTGATTTCTAGGCCTGGAATTTCTCTCTTATCAGAAGAGGATTGGGTCAGGACAGGCTTTAAGGTGAATTCGACCCATTTCTATAGTGGATTGATTGGATAGAAAGAAGTGCTCCCCTGATGGAATATTAGTTTGTAATGTAATTGTAGTTGTACAGTTGTAACTTTTAAACAATTGTAATTGTAATGCCATCTATCAAAGCTAAAGTAGGATAGCTGATTGTGAACTAGAAGAGGAAGCGAGCCTATGGTGAGCAGAAAAGTCTTAAATAAATAAACATGGCATTTTTAGACCTTGCAAAGGCTGAGGTCTAGAAAAACGGAAGCTTTTCTCTCCATTAAAAGATTTTCTCTTGGCAGTGTCAGAATAAACTCTCAAACAAGAGACCTGAGTCAATCCATGGAGGCTGAAATGCAGGCTTATCCCTTCAGGATAGGTGCATCTGCTCTTAATGTGAAGTTTGTGAAAGGGAAGGTAAAACAAAAGTCTGGTCAGGTCCTGTTTTACTTCACCAACTGGCACACGAGTCAACCTTGGTTCTGTCAGTGGTTCTGTCAATATGGGGATAATGAAGTGACTCAACAGTTTTCATGAAATATTTCTTGCTTTGCAGACAATTATTGTTTACATTAACTGCTGAATATTACTTGTGCGTTTACTGCTACTTTTGCTTACCATCGATGTACCAGTCTGGTTTTTTCAGTTCAGCTCCTAAATAAAACAATTGATTAATCAATTAAATGTTCACTGCCCATATTACATTATTAGGTGAAATAATAACTTTTTCACATTTAAATAAAACCAAAGTATTTACCTTTTGACATTTTACAAACCCATCCCAGCTTTTCATCACAACGAAAAGGCGCAATCGTTTTATCAAATTTGTATGCAGCACAAATTCTGACATCATCATCTTTATCTTTGTCAAGTGAAAACAAAGAAACAACCTAGAAACCAAGGGATAATATGATGGTTAGTTCCTCATGCTGGCTTCAGATGGGCAATCTGAGAAGTTACTGTTTTGTCTTTCAGAACTTCCTCATTGTTTTTGTTCATATTCAATAAATTGTCATTTTGCTTGATCAGGAATGGTTTATTTGGTGAGAAATATATTTATAATATCATGCCCTAGAGTTAGAATAATGATGATCCCATAGTTTTCCATAGGTTTTTGTCAAAAATATACTTTTGATCATATTTACATTTATCTAAAGGAATTAAAGTATGAAATAGTCCAGTGTGAATGCTTAATAATAAATTAAACAAATTAAATGTTTACATAAACATGCTTGAAGAATTTACCACTTTGTTTAAACAACATTAATCAGAATCACCAGAATTATAGGGGGTAGGATGCCAAATAAAATCATATCCCAGTTACCTCAGTTATAAATATTTTGATAAGCTCTCCTGATGATTCAACAAATTGGTTCACTGATTTATTGAGCCATACAATAAACACTGGCACAGCCCTCATCTATGGTGGCTAGGACATTCCTAACTAACATTTAGCGATGACCAGTGAATCGATTTCTCAATTTTTAGTTACATTTTTCTTTTAAAGCCTCAAAAACATGTTCTTTTTGAAATAAGTATACTGCTTATGTTCTGATCCCCTTTTTCTGCCTTCTTTTGAAAGCTCATGCTCTTTGAAAAATCTGACTCCCATTTTCTTTGGAGGCCCCACAATCTGTTCTGTTCCTTTTGTAAATTCTGCTCTCAACTGGTTTCTTTAGTGGATCCTTGTCTAAAACAGCTTGGGAAGCACTAAATCAGAAATTTTTGTTCACATTTAGTGTCAAACAATGATAATTGCATTTAATCTGTCTTTATTGAGCATATATCAAGACACTGAATGTAAAGGTCACTCATATCCCTACCATCTTTTATCATCAAGGTTAATGACTCAACCTCAACTGAAATTCAGAAGTTGGAATTGACTCTTCATTTTATGAACACTGAAACAGATCAAATTTTCTGCAAAGAACTGTGATAAAGTCTGGGTATCAATTTTAATAAAAGCAATACATAGTGAAAAAGGACCAAGAATTAATAGACTTTAAGAAACACATTCTAAGGTACTGAAGATCAATGCACACCTATCATTTCTATAAATATGGCGAGAGGGTGGAAAGGCATGAGACAGATTTGTAGACTGTGAAACAGGAAAGACGGGCTAAATTTCTAAATCAACACTAATAAACAGCAAACTATACTAACAGTAATTATTGTAAGCTTTAATGAAACGTTTGACCCCAGACGTTAACTCTGCTCCTTTTACCACAAGTACTGCCTGATCTATTGAGTACTTCTTAATGATATTGGTTTTATTACAGTAATTAATGTAATGGAGGAAGACTGCAGAAAATAGACCTGAAAAGAAGAAGCAAAAGAAAAACAGTGATACTGTTGATCTGAGAAAATGTATGGAATTTAGAGTTTTGACCGAGAACAAATTCACTGGACAGAACTGTAAAAGGGAAGCAACACCAGCAAGAACACAATTCCTCCAAGATATTATGCTCCATTTAACTCTGAAGCAGTTGTGTGGTTCTCAGGGTGTGAAAGAAACATCCCATATACGTGCAAGTTCTTTCTTCCAACCTTTCAATTAAGAGGCTGTTGCCTTCCAGAACTCTGTTTTTATTTGATGGTTCCAATGTCTTTTTCTTCTATCTATTTCTATCCTTCAGAACAAGGGGAAAATAATCCTGGAGAATCAAATCATTCAAATATCGTGCATACTGAATTGTAAAATTATATGCAGTATAAATTAACTTGGAATTGCTGTGAACCTAAATGGCATAGACATAATTTGGAGTTACTTACTCCACTGCCATCACTCCAAGACCAGGAGCCAGCAGAAGATGGATTCCTTTTGTTAAATCCAATCCAAAACCATCTTTCTTCTTCCCTAGAACATAAAAAGAATAAATTCTAAGCTGAGATAGTAGGAACTGCTATCTGAGTTGTTTCCCAACTCATTTTATTTGAGCTGTACAACTTTTAAAAATCTTGATGCTCTCTCTGGACTTGATGTTTTAGAAGTCCCCTAACCACAACCATCTCATTTATGTAGGCACTTCCAGGCTTTTCAACTGAAATGATTTGGGCATACAAGTCCAAATACTTTGTATATATTGGAGTCTTATGAAAATGACAAATGAATCCATATTTTAAAGGTAAAACAACATAGAGGTATAGAAAATAGCAGCAGGAGGAGACTATTTATTCCTGCTTCCGCCCAATGCCGTTTTCTCCCATTAGCCCTAACAATTCCGCAGGGCGGCACGGTGGCTCAGTAGTTAGCACTGCTGCCTCACAGCGCCAGGGACCTGGGTTTAATCCCACCCTCGGGCGATTGTCTGTGTGGAGTTTGCACATTCTCCCCATGTCTGGGTGGGTTTCCTCTGGGTTCTCCGGTTTCCTCCCACAGTCCAAAGATGTGCAGGGGAGATGGATCGGCCATGCTAAATTGCCCATAATGTTCAGGGGTGTGTGGGTTAGACAATGGGAAATGCAGGGATAGGAGAATGGGTCTGGGTGGGATGCTCTTCGGAGGGGCAGTGTGGACTTGTTGGGCCTAACGGTCTGTTCCACACTGTAGGGATTCTATTAACATTTTGTTACAAAAACAAACAATGCATGCGTGTGTGTGAGTGGGAGAGTGAGAGCGGGAGAGGGGGCGAGGGGGAGAGACAGAAAGAAAGAGAGGGAGGGAGAGACAGAAACAACGCTTGAGAATGCCCCCCTCAGTGCTGTTTGTGACAGATTCTCCACATCAGCTGGAGGGCAAGTGTACTGGCATCAGTGTCCTTGAAGCATTGAGGCTATAGTCATCTGAAACTAGGTCCACTGAACCAGTCACACGATTATAATGTGGATTCTAACTACCATAGCAAACCTTCTTCACCTAGCTCAAGGAATGCACTCTAACGAGAGGAGGACAAAGGAAGTATTTCAAAGACTCCTCGAAGACATCCCTCAAGAAATATAGATGTCAATGCATGGGTGGCTGTCATTCAGAGAATGCCTTGGAGAAAATTCCTGTAGGAAGGGACACAATTCTTCGAGAATACCCATTGACAAGTGAAAGTATGGAAAAGGAACCGGAGAACGGTAAGGCAATGATCTCAAGGTCAAGGATAAGTTCCACCTCCCAGTAATACCTGCCAAATGTATGGTCAGAGATGTGGCCCCAGGATTAGGCTCATCAGTCACACAAGGACCCACAGAACCCATGACCTGTAACAAGGAATTTTCTAGGTGGGCAATGATCTCGTTTGCATGTGATTGCTGATGACAATAGATAAATTAAACAAAACATGCACCACAACCTGGACACTATAACTTATAAAAAGACTTATGCTATAAATACAGTTCTACATTTTACTTCCCCTCCCCAAAAGTTCCCTTATCTAATAAAATCTTGGACAGTTCATTTACTTTTCCTGGGAACAACTCAAAGATATGCCACAGTCATTTGGAATTTATCTTCAATTCTCTTTGTTGTTTCAGCTTATCCTCAAGGTACAAATCTTATGTGGTTCCTTCCATTAACTTTTGGCAAAGCGAGTTTCCAATTTCCTTCAAGAACCTCAGACCAGGGCCTCTTCAGCTCCCTTGTCTTGGCCTTGGACATGCACAGACTGCGTTTTTCCAATCTGCTGCCACAGCTCCTGTTCAACTCTTTCGTTAACAATTCAAGCAGGTTGCTTTCTGCTACAAAGCACTCTGAGATTTTGACTGTAGATTTCTTCCCTTAGCTTCAAGCTAGAGAAAATCTTCCAGCTGCTTTTCTCTCACAAAATCCAAACTAAATGATCTGTTTCTGTTAATTCAGTTAATAAATTAAACAAAATAGACTTCCAACCAAAGTTCCACATTTAAGGCAACATACCATACATGGTCCATTCCCAGGTAGAAATGCAAATAAACTGCCTTTTAATTCCAAAGCTTTCCATCATCCTGAAAAACCAAATTAACAACATATTTCTAACAAAGATAGGACAACACTTCAGAGTTACTGGCACCATTAGTGAAGCAAAAGCAGGCTCCCAATTGTTTAAGGTCTTACCTTTCCAGCTCTGATCATGAATCAGCATCAACACAATCTTAATATTGTCTTAGACCTGATTACTGTTTAACTTACCAGGACATTAAATTGAGAGTTGGAACTTTTCAAAGATATACACTAAAAAGTTATGAATTATGAATCAGGTTTTCACAACAGTGTCATATCATTCCAAAGATTTTTACCAGAGTAATTTATACTACAGCAAGCACTGCTTTGACATTTGGCAAGTGATATAAATTGTAAATGTATGGGAGGATTATTGATAGAAGTCCAAATGATTGCTTTCTCATCTGTTTTTCAAAAGTATATAACTTTCTCTGTCTGCTCTGGGCCAGGTTATTTTCCTGCATAGTTGTCAGACCCAACCAAATATTTTTGATCATAGAATCCCTACAGTTTGGAAACAGGCCCTTCGGCCCAACAAGTCCACGCCAACCCTCAGAGCATCCCACCCAGACTCATCCCCCTATACTCCACCTAATCTACATATCCCTGAACACTATAGGCAATTTAGCAAGGCCAATCCACCTAGCCTGTACATCTTTGACTGTGGGAGGAAACTGGAACACCCGGAGGAAACCCATGCAGATACGGGGAAAATGTGCAAACTCCACGCAGACAGTCGCCGGAGGGTGGAATTAACAGAAACAGATCATTTAGTTTGGATTTTGTGAGAGAAAATCTGCTGGAAGATTTTCTCTAGCTTGAAGCTAAGGGAACAAATTCCCTTTCTCCCATGTTGAGAGGACATGAAAGAAATTAAAATAAGCCTGATTCCAGGAAGTACAACTGGGCCAGATGAAACCATGTCTCACAGCGCCAGGGACTCTGGTTTGATTCCACCCTCCGGCGACTGTCTGCGTGGAGTTTGCACATTTTCCCCGTATCTGCATGGGTTTCCTCCGGGTGTTCCAGTTTCCTCCCACAGTCAAAGATGTACAGGCTAGGTGGATTGGCCTTGCTAAATTGCCTATAGTGTTCAGGGATATGTAGATTAGGTGGGGTATAGGGGGATGAGTCTGGGTGGGATGCTCTGAGGGTTGGCGTGGACTTGTTGGGCCGAAGGGCCTGTTTCCAAACTGTAGGGATTCTATGATCAAAAATATTTGGTGGATTAGCAACATCCAGTTCAGTTTAAGAAACATATACAGACAGTGCTACAGAATCCAAGCTGTGATGAACATTGAGAGAAATCTGTCTGTAACAGTTTATGGGGGAAGGTTCTACGTTGCGAGAAATATTGCGGTTGTTCCATGTGTGAACCAGCCGTTTTCTTACGTAGGCTTCACATCTCGACCTTCAGTTTGCCATCCGATATTCAGTTGTAATGTGCCCTGAAAGACGGAGAAGGGAATACTTCCACAGCTTACTGTTAGGAATGTTTTCTATGAAAAGAGTTGCATCAGCTATTCTTTCTTCTTCCCCTTTCTCCTCTACATGGAAGGCAAATAACCCACAGGAGGAGTAATTTTTTTTCTCCGAGAGGGGAATGAATCAGTGAGATCCATTACTGTACAAGGCTGTGGAAGCTGGCTTGTTAAGGCTGGGATAGACAGATCTCAATCTGTGAGTGGATGGGGATGGTTATGGGGTAAAGGCATGAAGGCAGAGTTGAGGATACAGATCAGCCATGGTCTCACTGAGTGGCAGAACAAATTTGATGGGCCGAATTTCTGCTTCTACTCCTTCTGGATTGACCCTGGTTGCTTTGGGCTGGTGCTGACACTTGAAAGAGTGAGTAAAATTTAACAGGCTGCATATACTCTTGGAATTATTTGTACTGTTTCCCAAACCATCAATATTATGGACCTTTCTAGCTTTGTTTCAAGAATAAAGAAATATGTTGCCTCACCAAAAAAAAATATCCATTTGCTTATCTAATCATGGAAAAGCTTGCATTCACTTTAAAATTTCAGTGAAATGCCAATTTAAATCACACGCTTGGTCTTGAGAATAAAGTCACACAGGAATTGGTTTCAAAGTCATTGTTATGCTTGAAGTGGTGGATAACTCATTTTTGTTAGTCTTCTTCAATTCTGGAATTTAGGTCATCCTCCACATAGTAAAAATAAAAGCCAATTCTGAGCAATTACTTCACAGACTATAGACACTGAGAAAAGATTTCCAATCCAACTCACTGTGCTTGTGCTTTAAAATCTTTTTTTAATGGATCAGAAAACTCAGTTTGGTGTATGAAGAAACTTTTACAGAGATACTATGCTGGCCTCAGGACATCCAATTTCACAATGCTCCAAACTCAACGCTGTATTAAACAACTACAGAACTTAATGGAAGTAAAAGTGAAGTGGTTCAAAAGATAAAGTACTGGATGAAATTAGAGTGCATGCATTCCTGAGATACATTAACCACCAAACAATCAAGTCAGTAAAACAATCAAATTCATCATCTTACAACTAAGAAATAAAACAGTAACATTTTATCAAAGGTCAAATAGACATCACTAGCATTATTGTCCTACCCTAACTGATATTGAGAAGGTGGAAGTGAGCTTCCTTCTTGAGCTCAAAATCCTGGAACTCCCCTTCCTAATGGATATCCATTCCTAAGGAAGGGGTGTTCCAGGATTTTGAACCCGTAACAGTGAAGTAACAGTGATTTGGTTCCAAGTCAGGATGAAATATGGCTTGGACGATATCTTGCAGACAATGGGGTTCCCATGTAGCTGCTGCCCTAGTCTTTCTAGGTCATAGAAGTGATTAATACAAAACAAAAGTATTAGTGATGCTGGAAATCTGAACTAAAAACAGATAATGCTGGAATACTAAGCAGATCAGGTGTCATCTGTGAACAGAAAAGCAGATAAACATTTCAAATTAGTGAACTTTTGTTAGAACTATCAACAGCTAATTGACCCAAAAATGGGTGGTGCCTGATCTTCTGGATATTTTCCAATTTAAATTGCATTATGATCTGCAAAAAATCTTTTAAAAACTGGATATCAATGTTGCATTAATAAATATAATAACTTCATAATTTACCTCGCAAACATCCATCCCAAAATTTCATTCAAAAAAACTTCCTCGCTGTAATGGCTGAAACTTGCAAGGTGGGCTCCAAATGCTTGACAAAATTGTTCTGCTTCTTCCCAAGTTCTCTTCTTTAACACTTTCTCATGATGAAATACCTTTGAATGGAAATTCTGTATTAATATAATCATAGACTACTGAAATAAAAGTCTAGTTTCCAATAAAAGGGGCCGTGCCACATTTTTAACCTTACCACAGAACTGTAACAGATGACTTTGGAGCTGACTTTTTGATCCTCAAGATGTGAGTGATGCCGGAAAGGCAACATTTATTGCCCATCCCCAGATACTCCTCAAAGTTGTGCCTAAATTTCTCCTGCAAGGTGGCTGTTTTTTCCCATATTTCCTTCCTATCCTCTCCTCTATCTCTCTTCGTTTTATTTCATCTCTTCCCATGTACCCTTTTCCTATTATTATTTTCCTCAACTGCCTTTCTCTATCATTCTTCTACCATTCCCAGGGCAGAATACTCTTCTGGGATACAGGTTCTGCAGCAGGAGTGGAAGTGAGCATCACATCCATTTGGGGATGTGTCAGCTTTTCTCATGGCTGTCAGCTCATTACCTTTGCACATAAGAAGCATAGTGAGTCTTGCGGTGGGGTGGGCAGCAAGTTGACATTCCCACTTTTATTTTATGGACTTGAAGAACTAAGCACCACATTTAAAAGGACACCTGGATAAACTTTCATGTTCTGCAGATAAGAACTGCTTGGGCTCTCAGAGTGCATGATGGGGAAAATTGATGCACTGAGAGATCTGGGTGTTCAGGTCCATTGTACCCTGAAGGTGGCAACGCAGGTCGATACAGTGGTCAAGAAGGCATACGGCATGCTTTCATTCATCGGACGGGGTATTGAGTACAAGAGTTGGCGGGTCATGTTGCAGTTGTATAGGACTTTGGTTCGACCACATTTGGAATACTGTGTACAGTTCTGGTCGCCACATTACCAAAAGGATGTGGATGCTTTGGAGAGGGTGCAGAGCAGGTTCACCAGGATGTTAGATAACAAGGTGTAGAGCTGGATGAACACAGCAAGCCAAGCAGCATCAGAGGAGCAGGAAAGCTGATGTTTTGGGTTGATGTTGCCTGGTATGGAGGGCGCTAGCTATGAAGAGAGGTTGAGTAGATTAGGATTATTTACATTAGAAAGACGGAGGTTGAGGGGGGACCTGATTGAGGTCTACAAAATCATCAGACGTACAGACAGGGTGGATAGCAAGAAGCTTTTTCCCAGAGTGGGGGACTCAATTACTAGGGGTCACGATTTCAAGGTGAGAGGGGAAAAGTTTAAGGGAGATATGCATGGAAAGTTCTTTACGCAGAGGGTGATGGGTGCCTGGAACGCATTGCCAGCAGAGGTGGTAGAGGCAGGCATGATAGCGTCATTTAAGATGTATCTAGACAGATACATGAATGGGCAGGGAGCAGAGGGATACAGATCCTTGGAAAATAGGTGACAGATTTAGATAGAGGATCTGGATTGGCGCAGGCTTGGAGGGCCGAAGGGCCTGTTCCTGTGCTGTAATTTTCTTTGTTCTCTTTGTTCTTTGATGGCAACTAAACTATCTGGCCCTTCTACAGTTCTCCAGTCAGCATGCCTCCCTTCGCAGAGAGGCCTCTATTCTTGGCTAGACAGTCTTCCATTTTAGGCCAGCTTCCTTGACCCACAATCATAATACCCCAGCGTCTTTCCATTGATTATCCTCCACACACCTCACAATTTAGACTATTGCCACCTGATCACAACCATCGCACGGTATAGAGGAGTGGACAAAGGAGCAGCTACTCAGTCCAACTCTATCAATTTACCTACCTTGCCTGCCTGTTACACAGTCATGAATCAAAGTACATTCCTCCTCACTTAAGTAGAACTTAGCTGAGGAGGAAAATAAGTAACAAGTTGGCCTTTTAATAAGTATGTCTGACATGCAAATACATGCAAAATGGTTTGCCAGCATAAAATGCAATTTACCTTTAATTCCAAGAACTTAGTTGCAAATGTTTATTTGGTCAACAGGAATTTGATTTTTGGCCTCCTGCACAATTAAGTTCCCCACCTACTTTGATTCCCTCCCTTTGGCAGCACAAGATTCCACCTCTAGAGTTTGCTTAAGATAGCGTTATGTTCTCAATGATGACTTGAGGCACCATTAAATATGTGACAGATATTGCAGAGAAACCTAGTATAATTCATCCTACAAAAACCACCAAATGAAACAATTTCTTAAAATATCAGCAATTTTAAGCACCATTTTGTAAATAAGAGAGTTCTTTATAAAAAGAAATATAGTGCAGCATTACTTTAACTGCAAGCCACTTCACCTGTTAATAAAAACCACTCACCTTTGCTGAGTCAATTTGAAACGCTGAGGATTAGAATTTGATTTTTTATAGCATGTAAATTGTTATATTGTTTTTCCTCTAATAAGATCCAACTTAAACATTAGTAAAAAGCTCAAATTTAAGTCTTCTGCTACAGACCATACTGAAGGTATAAAGCGGTTGGCGTTGAAAGTAAATCTTTTCACCTTGAAGCAATTCAGAAGATCTGGACTTGACTCCCATCCAAAATGACATTTAGCTTTAGCCTTCATGCCTTGATCAGGGAAGGATTTCGGTTGTGGAGCAGATGTAACTTTTTGCTCACACAAAGACATCGCTTTGAAGGTTTTGCAATCTTTAACTTCCCAAAGGATATGAGATTTACCTCTTACCAGTGCAACACAACCACCTGAATGACCTGAAAAGCAAGGAAGGGAATTCATTGAGGATACTAAACAACTTTTCAAATGTTATTTGCTCTTCCACTTCAAAATGAGGGAAGGTTTCAAATCCTTAACTTAGTCTTTTTGTTTAAATATTAACACAATAACTTATAAATGATGAGGTGGAAAATTAAATAACGTAGTTCACAGTATAAAAAAATTCTGTAAATTTTCTTAATTGCCTACCTGGTTGATTTTTATTCCAATTTGTGAAGGAAACTGGTGCATTTTTATCATTTGCCATTAACCAGGTATATTTTTCTGTCTGATTTCTATCCTGAAGGCCTATCCAGAAGTTTTCATGATCTTCTCTGGCAAAATTACTGATCAGACTATTAATGAATGCTTGTTCAAACCTATGAGGACAAAGTAAAACTACAAAGTTAAATATAGAAACAAACCAACACTACAATTTATTGGTAATACTCAGAGATTGATGCAACATTTCTTTTAAATTCATATTATTCTAACCTCCAATGCACTTCAAATCTTCATAACACTGACACATTCTTCACTTCAATCACATAAATACATACAGACATTATCGCCTGATCTGTGTTTCAGATTTTGCATGCAATTTCTTTGAGTTTAGGGCTAAATTAAGCACCAAGAATGTATGTATCAATGTCATCAAATTTCATACAAGTGGAGGCAGTGCCAGTGTGGTAATGTCACTAGGCTAGTAATTCAGAATCCTAGGCTAATATTCGGAGGTAGTAGGAACTGCCGATGCTGGAGTCTGAGATAACAAGGTGTAGAGCTGGATGAACACAGCAGCCAGGCAGCATCA